TTCGCTTTTTGTCTATAGGCTACACATAATTGTGCCAACTTTGCGAATAAATTCGCAAATGTTGGAAACGTTTAGTCGATTGCCCTTGTTGGATGGTGTTGCTTGTGAAGCATGGAAATTGTGGGTACATAAAACTCAAAAATGCAGGCTTACTCTGTACTTTCTACTCTAAATTAGGGGTTATGAAGTCAAAGATAGAAATAAGTTTGTGTCTTTACATACGTAAACAGGCAATTGAATACGTTTTTTAAATGCCTGGCGTTAGCGCAGTGTTTTTTCTTCTCTAAACAAGCTTAGAGAACTATTGACGCAACGTGAGGCTAAGAGCATGTGTCAAGAGAGGTTAACCATAAACTCGGCCATGTCTACTTATAAGTAGACGATGAGTAATTAACCGCAAAGTGCTTAGTCAGTCTGAGTCGCGTAAGGTGATCAACTACTGATGAATTAGTTTTCCCAGAATCACAGTCAATTTAACTTAGCCTTGCCACCCACCTCGTTGATAGCTCCAGCCAGATTGGATGCCGGGTCATGACTATCGAGGGCGATATGATACCGCTCCGTGACAGACGCGAAATTCTAGGCAAGCCATGCCGCTGCTAATTCAAATTTAATGCCTACAATCGACTACGCTACTTTTTTTCCATATAAGTAGTGCATATTTAAGTAGTTTTTTTAGATAAACGCTAATTATTGATCAAAACCTGAGTCAGCGTTGGTCGTTTGGAGTGATTTTAGAAAAACTCAACTATCAAAGAGTGAAGTGAAGCGGAATTGAGGAAAACAGGCTGTAATGCGACTCTGATGAGCCAATGCTAGGCTTTGCCCTATTCTGTTTCCGTCCAACCAACTGCTCCGTCAAAATGGAAAGTCGAGACAGACTAACTCACAAGAGGGTCTTCGAAGGCCGGCTTTTCTTCATACACCCAAACACTTGCATGCAAAATGTGAGTGCGTTTGTGAACGTGAGACCGGATGGTGGGGCCTAATGGTGCCAAAATTCCTCGAATCGGTCAGGCCAGATGGGGCTGGGAAAAATTTGGCTGCGGGGCCGTGTTGTGCTCGCCTGCTCCAGCTGCCTGCGCGTCGGCCGGCCGGCCTGCCGGTCAGTCGGTCGGTCGGTCGGTCGGTCGGTCGATCGATCGAACCGCCAGTCCGTCCGTCTGTCAGCCGGTCGGTTCAGCCACGGCCGGCGAAAGCCGTCAAGTCGGGCTCGCGGCGGCGGCGGCGGCGGCAGCGGCGGTGGCGGTGTGTCTTGTGCACACAATCTGCTGCCGAGGCGAGGTGATCAGGACGAGCGCAATGAGCGTCGTCTCGCGCCGCGCCTCGCTCGCCACCTGCTGCGCCAGACGGGCCCAAGCTAGTCAGCTGGGCGAAGGCAAGCACTCTCTCTCACTCTCTTCTCTCTCTATCTCTCTCAGAGTGTCTAGATATATTTCTGTTTGTGTGTATGTGTGTTTGTCTCATCTCGTCCCAGGCTTCATAACCCACTCAGCGCAGTCGAGCCTCAACATTTGCGGCACATTGTCTTAAGTTTGGGCCTTGAGCCGTTCGCACGGCCTCGCCTCTCAACCGATCGATAAGATCAAGTCGGTCTGCTTACCTTAGGCTTATGCAAGATTGGGTGCAAAATTTGCCTACACTTTGGCGCAAGCACATGCACAGACTAGTATACAAACTTGAGCATGCATGCAAGGCGTTGAGGCTGACTGGCAAACGAATGATGAGCATAAAAAGCCTCAGTCAGAGGCAGGGTCAGCAGAACACCGGCACAACAGCAGCGCGTATCATCTAAATGAAGATCCAACTGTCAACTCCGATTGGTCTTTGCCGGCAGATCAATAAAGAAGGGTGCCTCAGTAGGCCAACCAATAGGATGTGAGGCCGAAGAATGGGCGTTGTCCTCTTTTCCGCCCCGCCTGAGACAGTCAGGCTGGGGGCTAGAGCAATTCGATCGATTCGAAGGATGCGACTCGCATCAATGCGGCATCGACTGGCTCTGACAACACATTCGTCATCTGAACCGATCCACCAACGAATCTCTTCACGCTGAAGGTCCCGGAGGGTCGTCTAAGTGCGTTTCTTCTTCTCTCTCACTTTGTCTGGGTTGCTGAGACTGGCGTGCGTCCTCGATTCGCCAGCTCCGAGGCCGAATAGGCTGTTTAAGGCCGGATAGTTGCATTCTAAGATTAGCAGAAAGGCTTTTTCATCCACACACACCGCAGCTTCTGCCTCGCCGCGGTAGCAACTGCGTTAAGTTCAAATGTACGCGATATCTCATTTCATGTAAGCTGACCTGGGACTACTCGCAAGTGACTTTTCCCACGTTCCCACTCCATTTCATTTAGACTTCTTTCCCAAAAGGTATTCTCATAAATGCTGAACACATCTCATTAATCTGATCTACCGCCAGTCTCGAAGTACTACTTTTAAATGAAAAAAAGTAATTGAGTGTATGAAGACCAAGATGGTGTGGCCTTTTGTGCGGTCGCTGTCTCCTTTCGTTGAATAGCGGTTGTTTGACCTTGTTTTCGCAACTTGGTCCTATTGGTAGGAAGACTGAGAGGAAGGCAACTTGTATGCGTCATCATTTCCAAAGTTGGATCGTGGACGTGGGACATTACCAAACGTTTCGCCGGCATCATAGTCTGTGAATAGGCCAGGGCAGAATGGGAGGTACCAGAACTATTCAGCACACGTTTGGTCGAAGGATCGGCTTCACTTGTCTCTTTTACGAGTTGTCGTGTGTTGCTAAGACTGGCAATACGCCCTGACGATGCCGACTGGAAATGATCATGCAGACGACAATGGACTGCGGACTGGGTGTGTTCCTCTGAGTCGGCTCATCCGACTCGGGCCTCCAACCCGGATGGCCTCATTGTCTCGTAGATCCGTTCCTCCTCTTTCTGGTCGACCGATTTCACTATGTTCTAGTCCTTCTCTTCACGGGTCGTCTTCTTGATTAAACCAATGCGGCGCCTGCGAACAGAAGTATATTTACGAAGAAAAGTTGGGTTTCGAGTAATCTCTTCTTTCATAATTGTTGCGATTACTTCCCTTTCGAGTGGAAGTGTTGGGTGAAGAGATTCAAGGTCGTTTTGCTGAGTATGGTATGTTCGAATCACTTCACCCAACACTTCTACTCGAAATAGAAGTAATTCCAACAGAAATATATTGTCAAAACAGGGATAAACATTAGAATACGAATGAAGGAACATCAAGGGATTTGCAGGAAAATGGGTACCGAAAGATCAAAACTAGTGGAACACATCTCACAGACTGGACAAGAGATCAATTGGAAGGCAACAGGAAGAAGAGCCCCACAAGGAAGCGGAAGATAATGGAGGCCATTGTCATGCTTGGTGAGAGAAAAATCGAACCAACAGGAGATTGGAGGAAGGTAGAGTTAGCGATAACTTTGCCTACTGCTTAAGCAAACTCGGGGAAAACAAGAGTAGAGAAGGACCAGCAAAAAGTAGACGCCTGGATCAAGGATCTAGCGCTAACCGGAGGAGAAGGGATCGCGATGAAGAAAGGGGGGCAGGGGTTTTTATGCGAAGAAATGTTGGGTTTCGAGGAATCTCTTGTTTCATAATTGTTCAGCTTACTTTCATTTCTAGAAAGACGACTGCGGATTCCTCTTGACCAGCAGTTGATTGGCTTTACTTGAAGATTCATGCTGACGCTGTTTCCGAGGCAATCTCCTTCGATTCCAGTGAAAAGGTTCTAAGCTTTCGAACGTCATATGACGAACCTCATCAGAGCGAGATAACATCGTCACAACAAAATTCAAGCTAACGAGTCAAGAAAATTCACCGGCAAATCCCTAAAAAGTGGTATATATACTCTACACTTGGCCTCTTTGATCAAGTATAAAGTGATGTGGTTAGTTAAAGTCATATGTCAACTTCGATGCCTGTGAGTGTGTCTGTCTCTGTTTGTGTACGGGCCTGTTTGTGTTCGCTTATGCGCGAAACCCGCAGTGATGACTTAAAGTAATTAGGACAGCAAAAGTAACGTCTGTTTTCGGCCATCAAGGTTTGATGACCCCTATCTCGCCCTTTCTACATACATGTTATAACCATCACTCCGATTGCGCAATGTTGGACACTCGTCTGGTTTTGTTGATGAGCCTATTTTTTGTTATTGGTCTCAATGCGAGATAGAGAAAGTGAGCCAAAAGTACAGAGAAGTGACTATGATTAGAACCAAGACAACAAAAGATTAGTTGTGTCGCCTCCTTTTTGCAGACGGCTTAACTCCCTCTCTATCCTTCAGTCTATTAATTAAGCACAAGTAATGTTTACTTATCTTCTTGCCACTATTCCTTACATTCAATGCATTTCCTATTCGGTTTATTTCGATGGCTTCACTAATTTTACGCTTAGCCGC